TGCTGCTGAGTTCTACAGCGATGAAAAACTTTCACTGATTTTTTTTTTTTTTACATTCTGGTATTTTTTTTTTTTTTAAATTGTCCGGATGATTTTTAGTCGGCATGTTTTTGAGAACATTATCATTCATGACGGGGGAAAAGTGAATCATTTTCCCTACACAATGTTGTTGTTATAACCTTTTACGGGTTATTCAGCGTCTATGGGTGAGAAGTAACTCAGGTTTGTTCCGAGGAAGGGAAAGGCTTCAACAGTTTCTTGGATCTTGAACCTTCATCATGGAACGTCTTTTAAAAAGATTCAAAACTACAGAATTATTGATTTGTTGCTGAAATTTTCAGTGTTTGGCTGTAATTGTTGCTGTGAATTGTTTAGCAAATGATGTCATGGAAAGCGAAAAAGAGTTTAAAAGTTATAGGGAAATAAGTCTGCTGAGTATACCAGTTGAAGTGAATGTTAGTGTAAATATTGAAAGAATTGTGGTAAGACGAAGAGCAGGATCGAAAATGAACAAGGAAGCTTCAGCAAGACTAGAGCTAACAGTGAAGCATATAGCTGAACACTAGTCAGATACAGGTACTGAAGTTTCCGTTGCATTTATGGATTTAGAAAAGGCTTATGTGGCAGATGTTGCAATTGAATGGAGGTAAGTTAGGGAAAGAAGTTAAGAGTATTTTTTGGTGAATAGTGAGACTCAGGTTAGAGTATGTAGAAGAGAGTGTGATTATTTTCCATTAAAATTAGACCTTAGACGGGGATCCGTGTTATCACCAGTTGTAAAAAAAATAATGCTAGGGTGTTGGGAAAAGGTGTGGGATTTGAAATATGCAGAATTTAATACAAAGTGGGAGTTGTCACAGTTGCTTTTTGCCGTTGACACTGTGCTTTTGGGAGATTCTGAAGCGAAGTTGCAATGGCTGGGGTACGAATTTTGAAGGGTATGTAGAAGGAAGTTAAAACTGAATATATAAAAGAGCAAGTTGATGGGGGTAACAAACAATTTTGATATTGCAAGATTGGATATCAGTTTGGAAGGAGGAAGTAACCATGAAGTGAAAGACGAGGGATCCCATAGAACTGATGAGGGTAAATAGGTGAGTAGTGCATTAAGGAATCTGTGTAGACGAAGAACGTTATCCATGGAAGCATAAAAGTGGAATCCATAAAAGTATAGTGGTGCCAAAGCTCTTATATGAGAGTAAAGCTTGGATTGTAAAAGATGAAGCTAAGAGGAGGCTGGGGGAAGTGGAGATGTCGTTTTGAGGGGACTGTGTGGTGTAAATATTATACATAAAATTCATAGTTTGGAAATTAAGAAGAGGTGAAAAGGGGTTGTTGAGGTGATTTGGACATTTAAAGAGGATGAAGCAAGATAGAATGACTCGGAGGGTGCATAAATCATCCTAAGAAAGGTTGGTGGGAGGGAAAGAAAAGAAAATTTTGTATGCGAGGGGCATGGACATTTTAACAGGCGTGTGTGAGCGCCTTAGATGGGATTGAGTAGAGTCAAATGGTTTTTATGACTTAATATGCTGTTGGAATGTGAGCAACGTAACATTTATGAAGGGTTTCTGAGAAACCAGTTAGCCGGACTTAAGTTATGGAGATGGGAAGGACAGTGCTTCCACTCTGAACTATTTCATGTGCATTGTTGTATTTCTAGAAAGTAAACCCTCGTGGGTCAATCAGTGAATGGTGATGGCTCATTTTGTTCTGTAAATAATTAAAGCAGCTTCCAAATCAATATATATATGGTTCTGAACACGCTGGAAAATTTGCTGAATGGTTTTGTGTGATTCTAACTACTTAATTTTCTACGGATTTATCCTATGCATGATATCATACCCAGCAAATGTACTTGGCGTGTTGTTATAAGTCAACTGTAACACAATTACCTGTTTTGTTAGGGTAATGGAGCACAATAATTTTGTGAGTAGATGTCACATTTTTCATGTTCTAGCACATATGACTCATGTGCAACACCTAGCTGTCTTTATCGCCTGCACAACAGGCTTCTTTGGTCTCCGGCATTCGTCTGAAGAAGCATATGTGCTGGCTAAACATATCGGCACTAAAGACACCCAAGAGTTGCACTTGTGTCTTATCCATCATTTATGTACCATACCATAAGAGTTGTCATGGTAATATATTACTTTAAAGTTGGGGTCCCTAACCTGCGGTCCGCGGGCCGCATCTGGCCCTTCTAGGAAATGGATGCGTCTCTCTCACGAAATTATGAATTCACTTTTATGTAGTTTCCACACCTGCACAGTGTCAACAAAACTGTGTGGCCATCATCATACATTTAACCATCAGATGTGACCCACTTGTGTAGGAACGTTGAGGACCATTACTTTAAAGCATTCTGTGTAAGTTAGAGAAGTTCAGTGATAGTGATCCACCCATACTGCACCCATATTTCTGCCTAAACAATTGATCAATGAAAGAAAATACGCTGCCAGAAACATAACTTGGCGAGCGCAATAATTTTTGGCCCCAGGATGCGATATTTCTGCATATTTATGACAGGATAAATCTTCCAACCTTGCCCGACGTTGTCTCCATCCAAAGAGGTCACTTATAGATTATTATCCACTATTTTAGCTACGTGTGTACACCGTTTGCACTCTGCAGGAGGGATGACGGGGTTATTGCAGTTCAGAGGGTTAACTGAGCTGTGATACAGGCACGCTTCTGGCAAAACAGTGATTGATTGAGTGACGGTGAGTGTTTCTTTTTTTTCGGGTTACCTCAACCTCGGTGACAGATGACAGATGAGCTTGAAAAAACTATAGAAATTAGGTCACCTTCGGACGTTTTCAGTCGTGCATCTTCGTGTTGAAGAAGAGACACGCTAGGCTCGGAACAAACTGTTACTGGGACAACGTTTCGCTCTATACAGAGCTTTATCAGGCCATGACCCTATAAAGTATTACTCACAAAGAAAATTTTTCTTACTAAATCCGTGTTATGGAACATAATTTTGCATTCACTAGTGAACATCGCGCTTTTCAGATCTATATCTTCTTGTCACTACTTTCGTTCGTTGTTATATTCAGTAGGAAGTATACTCGAATGAAGGCGAATAATGCTTTACATTCTTTACGTATACCATTGTTATAACGGTTATATGCTATTATATTATTGCTATATACATACTGCCGTAATATTGGTGTTTACATTTTCTAGAACGAAATTCGAATTCGAATCTCCTTTAATACTTTAAAATACTATGTACTTCCACTCTGAAATATGCACTTCAGCACTGCATTATGCTTTTCAGTACTGCATTATATACTTCAGTATAGTAATGTGTAATCAGTACATTTATATACATTAATATAGTTACATGAAGATTCATTTTTGCGTCCTATCTCATTTTTTCCCCATGACAATTACTTGTGTGAAGAACAATGATCAGTTTCTAATTTAACGTTTGTTCATGTACCAGGTTCAGTAGATGCACATAGTAGATACACCTCCCCTTGTCAAGCCTAGGGCTGTGGACTCTTTCCTTGCCAAGCCTGAGGCTGTGGACCCTTTCCCTGTCGAGCCTTAGGCTGTGGACCCTCTCCTTGCCAAGCCTGAGGTTGTGGACCCTTCCCCTGCCAAGCCTGAGGCTGTAGACCCTTCCCCTGTCAAGTCTTAGGCTGTGGACTCTCTCCCTGCCAAGCCTGAAGCTGTGGACTCTTTCCCTGCCAAGCCTGAAGCTGTGGACTCGTTCCCTGCCAAGCCTGAGGCTGTGGACTCTTTCCCTGCCAAGCTTGAGGCTGTGGACTCTCTCTCTGCCAAGCCTGAAGCTGTGGACTCTTTCTTTGCCAAGCCTGAGGCTGTGGACTCTTTCCTTGCCAAGCCTGAGGCTGTGGACCCTCCCCCTGTCAAGCCTAGAGCTGCTGTGGAACTTTTTCCTGTCAAGTTCAGCGGTTTTAACTTCTAACGTCCAAGAACCTCAGAGATATTTTTTTTTTCTCCCTCTCTCCCGATCTAGACCGCCGCGTGACTTTCAGACATCCTTTCCTGCTTCGTCAGGTCAGAAGATCCTGTGTCCAGTCACCATTCCTTCTCTTTGTGCTCCTGAAACCCTTGAAGCTCCCGCAGCAGAAGTGCTTCACCCTCAAAGCTACCGTGCTCCTTTTAGGTTGGTAGGACAGAACTATTGGGTTGTCAGGTCAGAATTATTGGGTTGCTACGTCTTTCTTTCCTTTTCTTTTCTTTTATCTTCCTCTTCTTTTTCTTTGTATATTTGATGTCGTTTCTCTATTCCCTCCCTACATCTGTAAAGAGAGTATATATTTCAGTATTTCCTGCCTCTTTTACATTACTATTCTAATTCCTATGCCCAGTGTTTCTTCTCTCACTTGTGTAAATCCTCTCACTTTATCGTTTACTTTCTTTACGTCCTAATTACATTACTTACCTTACATATCTTCCTTTTTTCTCTCCATTCCTTCTACTCCCTCACTGTCGTTATTTTCACGCCTCATTCCCCCCTCTTTAACCTTTTCTTCTCTTGCGTCCCCTCTTCCATTTTCTCTAGTCTCCCGCTTCGTCTCTTCCATCTTCTCAAGTCTCCTGCTTTCCCCTCTTCTTTCTTATCCATTCACCTGCTACTCTTCTTCCACTTCTCACTCTCTCTCTCCGTCTTCTATTCTACTTACAATAGGAAGATTCAGTAATCTACTTCTGTGTTAACCTGGCATTTCTTACAAACCGCATTTATTCCCATTTCCCTTTCCTCCTATCCAAACATTCTTTCTCCCTGCCTCCTAAATTACCACCTACTCGTCGTATCCTTTTCGTTTCCTCTTGATCAACCACGCATCGCTCCTCTCCCAAATTCTCCTCATTACCCTTCTCCTTCGCTTTCTCTTCTCCTTCGCTTTCTCTTCTCCTTCCCCTCATTCACTGCTCTGCACTTCTCTTCAAATCCCCCCTCTCCCTTGTCCTCTCTCTCTCTCTCTCTCTCTCTCTCTCTCTCTCTTTCACCTCCAGGTACTTACATCCACATGGATGCCGAGGGTGTCGTACTTCGATTTGGTCTTGGCGGCTGCAGGAGTGAACTGGTAGAACTGGTGCTGTTCTCTCCACCATGTGAGGGAATACAGTTTGTCTGTCTCCAGGTCGAAGTGGCAGTGCAGCTGCACGGTGTCGCCGGCTTGTACCGAGGCCGGTACCTGGACTCTCACGATCTTCAGACTCCAGCTGCCTGTGGGACGGAACGAGCAAACGGTGAGAGATTGTAAACAAAAGGTGACGCGATACCCTGGCTGCAACAATTAACCAAAACAAATGCGCATCAGTTGGGCATCTTTATTTTTCACACCTGCCGCGTAGGCGAAACGTTTCAACAGTAAATATACCCAACTGTCTCTTAATCATAAACTTGTCGGTATTTTACACCATTTTTCAACAATTCACCGAAAGCCCGTACTCAGGAGAGATAAACTTTATGGGGACGATGTTTCGGTCCGTCTTGGACTACTGTCAAGTCACAATGGTCCAAGATGGACTGAAACATCTTTGTAAGGTTCCCTTCCTTTTTATAGGCTTTTATTGGACAGATTTTGTACATAGGAATGACTGGGATTATTAAACAAGTGTGAATCACACGATGAAAAGAAAAGAGAAGTGAAGTTTTATGGTATCATTTATTGACGACGTATCGCCCACTGGGTGCGGGATACGTCGCTGCGGCTGAAAAAATAAATAAACATGAAAAAAATAGAGATAGCAGAGTAAATCTTTATTAAGACAGTTTCTCTCAAGACTTTATTAAGACAGCGTTTCGCTCACGAAGAGCTTTATCAAGACTACTAAGTCAACGTGTCGTTCAAGTAGAGCTTCATCAAGACGATTAAAACAACGTTTCGTTCAGGGAGAGCATTTTCAAGTCATGACTGGATGGTGCTCTCCTAGGCGAAACGTTGTGTTTATGAGCACTCGCTCTGCTTAAAAGTTACTTCGTATTGCCCAAGAATCACATTTCCGTGGAGGGAAAAATTACATAACCAATCCACGAACTGAAAATAAAACTAAAGGACACTGCGATCACTCCGAAACCATTTTCCTTTTGGCACCAAAAAAAAAAAAAAAATCTCAGTGATTATGAAAAAAAAGCAGCGGATTCAAAATGAAAAAAAAAATACATATTTCAGACCCATTTTCGCCATTTCTGTTTGCAAATTAGATTTTGAAAGTTATATAAAGATTTGCAAGATACAGCACTTCGGCTTTCGTGTTTTTAAGTAAGAATTATCTTATTTTCAGTGAAGAAAAATAACAATTGAAATTTTCTAAAAATGGTTGAAAAGTGGTATTTTTAGCGACTGAAGACCGCACCACCACCATCATAGTTTGTAAGTATTTTCCCATTACTTTATGGAAGTTTTTCCTAGCATTTTTTTTTTTAGAGAATTTAATTACCACTAAAATTACGATATTTTTGATCGAAAGCATCATTTAAAGAAGTTATCTGAGGAGGAAGTTATCTGAGGAGGAAGTTACCTGAGGAGGATGTTATCTGAGGAGGAAGTTATCTGAGGAGGAAGTTGTCTGAGGAGGAAGTTATCTGAGGAGGAAGTTGTCTGAGGAGGAAGTTATCTGAGGAGGATGTTATCTGAGGAGAAAGTTATCTGAGGAGGATGTTATCTGAGGAGGAAGTTATCTGAGGAGGAAGTTGTCTGAGGAGGATGTTATCTGAGGAGGAAGTTATCTGAGGAGGAAGTTATCTGAGGAGGAAGTTGTCTGAGGAGGAAGTTATCTGAGGAGGATGTTATCTGAGGAGGAAGTTATCTGAGGAGGATGTTATCTGAGGGAAGTTTTGAGGAGGAGTTATCTGAGGAGGAAGTTATCTGAGGAGGATGTTATCTGAGGAGGATGTTATCTGAGGAGGAAGTTATCTGAGGAGGAAGTTATCTGAGGAGGAAGTTATCTGAGGAGGAAGTTATCTGAGGAGGAAGTTGTCTGAGGAGGATGTTATCTGAGGAGGAAGTTATCTGAGGAGGAAGTTGTCTGAGGAGGAAGTTATCTGAGGAGGATGTTATCTGAGGAGGATGTTATCTGAGGGAGATGTTATCTGAGGAGGAAGTTATCTGAGGAGGAAGTTATCTGAGGAGGAAGTTATCTGAGGAGGAAGTTATCTGAGGAGGAAGTTATCTGAGGAGGATGTTATCTGAGGAGGAAGTTATCTGAGGAGGAAGTTATCTGAGGAGGAAGTTATCTGAGGAGGATGTTATCTGAGGAGGATGTTATCTGAGGAGGAGGTTATCTGAGGAGGAAGTTGTCTGAAGAGGAAGTTATCTGAGGAGGATGTTATCTGAGGAGGATGTTATCTGAGGAGGATGTTATCTGAGGAGGATGTTATCTGAGGAGGAAGTTATCTGAGGAGGAAGTTATCTGAGGAGGAAGTTGTCTGAGGAGGAAGTTGTCTGAGGAGGAAGTTATCTGAGGAGGAAGTTATCTGAGGAGGAAGTTATCTGAGGAGGAAGTTATCTGAGGAGGATGTTATCTGAGGAGGAAGTTATCTGAGGAGGAAGTTATCTGAGGAGGATGTTATCTGAGGAGGATGTTATCTGAGGAGGATGTTATCTGAGGAGGATGTTATCTGAGGAGGATGTTATCTGAGGAGGAAGTTATCTGAGGAGGAAGTTATCTGAGGAGGATGTTATCTGAGGAGGAAGTTATCTGAGGAGGATGTTATCTGAGGAGGATGTTATCTGAGGAGGAAGTTATCTGAGGAAGTTATCCGAGGAGGAAGTTATCTGAGGAGGAAGTTATATGAGGAGGAAGTTGTCTGAGGAGGAAGTTGTCTGAGGAGGAAGTTGTCAGAGGAGGAAGTTATCTGAGGAGGAAGTTATCTGAGGAGGAAGTTATCTGAGGAGGAAGTTATCTGAGGAGAAAGTTATCTGAGGAGGAAGTTATCTGAGGAGGAAGTTATCTGAGGAAATTATCTGAGAATGAAGTCATCTGAGGACCAAGTTATCTGAGGAAGTTATCTGAGGAGGAAGTTGTCTGAGGAGGAAGTTGTCTGAGGAGGAAGTTGTTTGAGGAGGAAGTTGTATGAGAAGGAAGTTGTGTGAGGAGGAAGTTGTGTGAGGAGGAAGTTGTGTGAGGAGAAAGTTGTTGAGGAGGAGGAAGTTGTGTGAGGAGGAAGTTGTTGAGGAGGAAGTTGTCTGAGGAGGAAGTTGTCTGAGGAGGAAGTTGTCTGAGGAGGAAGTTGTCTGAGGAGGAAGTTGTCTGAGGAGGAAGTTGTCTGAGGAGGAAGTTGTCTGAGGTGGAAGTTGTGTGAGGAGGAAGTTGTATGAGGAGGAAGTTGTCTGAGCAGGAAGTTGTCTGAGGAGGAAGTTATCTGGGCAGGAAGTTGTCTGGGGAGGAAGTTATCTGGGGAGGAAGTCATCTGGGGAGGAAGTTTCTGAGGAGGAAGTTATCCGAGGAGGAAGTTATCTGAGGAGGAAGTTATCTGAGGAGGAAGTTATCTGAAGAGGAAGTTATCTGAGGAGGAAGTTATCTGAGGAAGAAGTTATCTGAGGAGGAAGTTATCTGAGGAGGATGTTTTTTGAGGAGGATGTATTCTGAGGAGGAAGTTATCTGAGGAGGAAGTTATCTGAGGAGGAAGTTATCTGAGGAGGAAGTTATCTGAGGAAGAAGTTATCTGAGGAAGAAGTTATCTGAGGAGGAAGTTATCTGAGGAGGATGTATTCTGAGGAGGAAGTTATCTGCCACCAATCATCTCTCTCGTCTTCTTCAACAGTCAACTCTCTCGTGTTCAACAGTCAACTCTCTCGTCTTCTTCAACAGTCAACTCTCTCGTCTTCTTCAACAGTCAACTCTCTCGTCTTCTTCAACAGTCAACTCTCTTGTCTTCTTCAACAGTCAACTCTCTCGGCATCTTCAACAGTCAATTCTCTCGTGTTCAACAGTCAACTCTCACGTCTTCTTCAACAGTCAACTCTCTCGTCTTCTTAAACAGTCAACTCTCTCGTCTTCTTCAACAGTCAACTCTCTCGTCTTCTTCAACAGTCAACTCTCTTGTGTTCAACAGTCAACTCTCTCGTCTTCTTCAACAGTCAACTCTCTCGTGTTCAACAGTCAACTCTCATGGTCCTCACCAGTTTTTCATTTTAACGAGATAACTTCCTCCTCAGATAAGTTATCTGAAGAACACGAGAGAGTTGACTGTTGAACACGAGAGAGTTGATTGGTCGCACTGAAGTACCAACATGAAGTTGCTTGAGAAATGAACGCGTCATTTCTTAGCTTGTTGATTAATGAGGAAAGTTTTACTTTGTTAGGGAAGTCAAAAATAAAAAGGATAGAAAAGAACAAGACAATTAACCGGATGTCTGTTGAAAAACAACACACGTGCCTGTTGGACACGAGGCAGGTGTGCTCGACACTCTGAAGTGTGCTCGACACTCTGAAGTGTGCTCGACACTCTGAAGTGTGCTCGACACTGAAGTGTGCTCGACACTCTGAAGAGTGTTCGACACTCTGAAGTGTGTTCGACACTCTGAAGTGTGTTCGACACTCTGAAGTGTGTTCGACACTCTGAAGTGTGTTCGACACTCTGAAGTGTGTTCGACACTCTGAAGTGTGCTCGACACTGAAGTGTGCTCGACACTCTGAAGTGTGCTCGACACTCTGAAGAGTGTTCGACACTCTGAAGTGTGTTCGACACTCTGAACTGTGTTGGGACACTCTGAAGTGTGTTCGACACTCTGAAGTGTGTTCGACACTCTGAAGTGTGCTCGACACTCTGAAGTGTGCTCGACACTGAAGTGTGCTCGACACTCTGAAGTGTGCTCGACACTCTGAAGAGTGTTCGACACTCTGAAGTGTGTTCGACACTCTGAAGTGTGTTCAACACTCTGAAGTGTGTTCGACACTCTGAAGTGTGTTCGACACTCTGAAGTGTGTTCGACATTCTGAAATGTGCTCGACACTGAAGTGTGCTCGACACTCTGAAATGTGCTCGACACTCTGAAGTGTTTGACACTCTGAGGTGTGTTCGGCACTCTGAAGTGTGTTCGGCACTCTGAAGTGTGTTCGACATTCTGAAGTGTGCTCGACACTGAAGTGTGCTCGACACTAAAGTGTGCTCGACACTCTGAAGTGTGTTCGAGACTCTGAAGTGTGTTCGACACTCTGAAGTGTGTTCGACGCTCTAAAGTGTGTTCGACATTCTGAAGTGTGCTCGACACTGAAGTG